GGCCCTAGCCCTGACACAAGGGTATTCGGGCTTTGGATGGGCCGATGGATCGAGCCTCGAGTCGGGCCGGTGGGCCTGGGCCTAGCCTCGAGCTTAGGTCGGGCATGGGCGGGCCTGACCATTTTTTTTTAATTCTTTTTAATTTTTTCTACTAAAATTTTATTATTTTTCACAAAAAAAATACATTGCGCCTCGGACGGGCTGGGCCTCGGACCGAGCCTTGAATGGGCCTTAAGCAAGCCGATGGGCCGGGCTGGGCTTCAAAGTGATGACCTAGGCCCTAACCTAGGGTTTCGGACATGTTCGGGCCCGGACCGAAACGTGCCTGCCTCGGGCCGTGGGCGGGCTTCGGGCAATCCAGGGCCGCAGGCCAATTCAACATTCCTATCAATGTGCATTTTAACATGTCAATGTGAATATTCACATTGTCAACGGGCCGGGCCTACCTCAGGCCGCGGGCAAGCTTCGGGCAGCGGGCAAATTTTACACTCTATCAATGTTAATGTTAACATGTCAATGTGAATATTCACATTGTCACGGGTCGGGCCAAGCCTGCCTCGGGCTACGGTCAGGCTTCGGGCCCCAACGGGCTGCGAGCCAATTTTATACTCTTATCAATGTGAATGTTAACATGTTAATGCGAATATTCACATTGTCAACGGGGCGGGTCGGGCTCGCCCTAGGCCGCTGACCAATTTTATACTCTTATCAATGTTAATGTTAACATGTCAATGTGAATATTCACATTGTCAACAGGCCGGACCGGGCTCGCCCCGGGCCGTCCATGGGCCATGGGCGGGTTTTGGGCAGTCACGAGGCGCGGGCTAATTTTACACTCCTATCAATGTGAATGTTAACATGTCAATATGAATATTCACATTGTCAACGGGTCGGGTCGGGCCCGCCTCGGGCGGCGGGCGGGCTTTTGGCCGCCCATAGGCCGCAGGCCAATTTTATACTCTTATCAATGTGAATGTTAACATGTCAATGTGGCCGCCCATGGGCCGCGGTCGGGTTTCGCGCGCGCCACGGGACGCGGACCAATTTTACACTCCTATTAATGTGAATGTTAACATGTCAATGTGAATATTCACATTGTCAACGGGTCAGGCCCGTCCTGGCTCGCGAGCGGGTTTCGGGCCACCCACGAGCCAATTTTACATTCCTACCAATGTGAATTTTAAAATATGAATGTTCACATCATAAAATTGCTAAACGTTCAAAAAATATTTATAAGAGTATCAAAATTAAATACAAGGGTATAAGTGTCCAAGAAAATAATGTAAATCAAGAAAAATGACTTTATGAAATAAAACTATACATACATGAGACTAAATGGGTTAAAAAATTCCTTCATGGACTTCTTTAGTTAAAACACTTTTAAATGTGACTTATTTTAGATCACATCATCTCATACATTTTTTATTCACAAAAAGACAAAATAGACAAAAAAAAATTAAAAAATTAATTTTTTACCAACTTCCCAAATTACTACTTTGTTGTATTGGTTGTAATGGAGTTGTCATTGTCAATGTTGTCTAAGTCTCAGTTGTATAATTTTACGATGATGGGTTTATATTTATTATTTGAAGGTTTTATATAAATAAAACATACTAGAAGTGTCGTGATGCATGGGCATATAATTATTTTCTTTAGGATAAATAAGATTGTAAAATGTATAATTAAATTTAAAATTTTAAAATTAAAACATTTTATGAATCTAAAAAGACCAACAGTTAAGAGGTTTGAAAATACATATAGGCATAATTGCCATGTAACTTCTGTTAGGGTAAAAAAAATAAAAAATAAAAAATAGAGACATAAACACCAATTTAATCCCAAATAGGCTTTGTCCTTTTGTGCTCTAGGTGGTTATTGTTGCCTACGCTATACATATAAGTTCGGTTACACAATTATTTTTTAATATATTTTTATTTTATTTTATATAAAAAGTCAACACATTTGATAATAATAATAATTTTTTATAATAAAAATGTTATTTTTTTTTTACTATTTAAAATAATTTTGTAACCTTCCCAAACACTTTTATTTTTTGACACATTTAGCGAAAATTTAGTTTTCTAAGTTTACCATGTGAATTATTTTATTTATTTTTTCATTTCCTCTCTTAGTTTTTTTGTAACTATATTTATATATCAAGATACGAACACTATGTATAGAATATGTTTTTTGATTAAAAAAAATAAAATAAAAAACACTAATTTTTTTAATATATTTTTATTTTTTTGAGGATAAAACAATTTAAAAAAAGAATTATGTTTATTTTTTAAAATTTGTTTATATTTTAAAAAAATTAAAGAAAAAAATCTCAAAATAAACATGGAAGTGTTTCAAGTCGAACTAAATATGAATAGAAATTTACCTTAATATGTTAATAACATGAATGAAAGAAATGATATTGTCATATATTTTTTAGTAAAATATATATTTCTATTTATTTATTTCAAATGTCTATCAATTATTTGCATTAGCTTTGATCATTTTAGCTTTGCTAAAAGAGAGTCAGTATAATTATGTACAAAATATAGGACTAATCGTATTTTTTTTTTCTAAATTTCATGGAAAGTTATTCTCTGTTTGGTTTGATTTTTCAAAAGGCGTTTTTAAACGAGTTTTGTTTATTTTTAATGACTTTTCCCCATATTTTAGTCAATTTTTAGATGCACTAATCAGGAAATATCTAAAAAGTAAAATAAATTGACTAAAATATTTTTAAAAAACTATAAACAAACGAAAATTTGAACAAAGATCTATATATATTTTTTCCTGAATTTTGTTTATTTTTAGTGATTTTTTTTCATATTTTAGTTGAACTTTTTATTTTTTAGATGCATTTAATCTTAATGTATCTAAAAAGTAAAAAAAAAAGGACTAAAATATGAAGAAAATACAAACAAAATCCGTCTAAAAATAATTTATGAAAATTCAAAACAAACAATCACTTAATGTAATTCAATTATTTTTTTGGATTAGTTACATTTTTTGCTTCTATAGTTTGGCCCCTACATTTTAGTCTAATTTTAATTTGGTATTTTTGTCTGAATTTTTATTAGTTTTGTCTACTTAGACACTTTAATAAATTGAAAAGGGATCCCAAAATTATTAATTCTAACTTTAAATTTGGGCGAAGAACCAATTTGACATTAAACTTAAAGTGTAGGAATTAAATTATTTAAAAATTAGAGAAATTAAAATAAAATATAGATAAAATTATAGGGACAACAAATATAATGAAGTATTTTTTAATATAAGGTTAATTACAATAGCTTTAACTATTACTGAATATCACTTTATTCCCTCATATATGAAATGTGCATATTAATTCTGCAATTATGAAAACCACATAAAAATATATAATTTTTAAAAATAATCTGAAGGGGATGAAAGCAATACATTTTTATTTATTTATTTATTTATAGTTGAGAGGTAAAAAAGTAAGAATTCATAGATGAGGAATAAAGTGATATTTATCAATAGAGATGGCTTCTCTCCGGTTCATATCAAATTAGAAGGTACTATTAGGTTGGCCCACCACAGAGTCTGCATCGACGTGTATAACTCGTTAGATATGCTATCCCTATAAATTTTTTTATATTTATCAGATATTAATAATCACTTGATCATGGCCCCGTTTGGTGTAGTTGTTAAAATAGATTATATATTATAACTTAACAAATTGTAAATTATGACTTTAATCAGAAACTGTTAATTTATTTGGTGTAACTGTTGGATTCTAAATTTAATTAACAGAGTAGTGTTTGGTTGAATAAGTTTTAAAATAGTTTTTTGCTGTGTAATGTCCTTTTTGCCTTTATAAGATATAAAATTGTTATTTTTTCATTTTCTTCAGTTTTTATTTTTTTTAAAAAATTATCTCATTGAATTTTAATTTATTACAATACCAATATTAATTGAAGTTATTTAATTGAAATAAATTTATATCAATATTAATTGAAAATAAAATTGTGTCATTTATTTCTTTATTTAAATTGTGCAATTGTGGAATTTATATCGATAATTGTGAAATAAAATTTGTGTTTTTTTTCATTACAATACAAATTAATAATATCAAAATTGTTAAATTTTTTTTAATTTATTAATTCATTACGATAATACCAAACCCTAGCCACCGCCGAGCACCCTCCGCAAAACTTGAGAGAATACAGAGAGAGCTAGGGTTGATCGCGAAGAGAGAGAGAGAGAGAGAGGCCTGTTGTTGAGAGAGAGAGGGAGAGGGGGGCCCGATCGCGACGCTAGAGAGAACACGAAAGGTTGATCATCACACCGGAGACAACACAAAGGGTTGATCGCATCGTGATGGTTAGGGTTTTGCATCACAATGGTTTCAAATCGTTAAGGTTTAATTGCATAGCCGAAGAACAACGCCAGAGAGAGAGAGAGAGCGCGCTCTAGTTCACAACGTCGGAAATCGCCGATTGTCAAGCCCGAAATCGCCACTTTCTCACTCTCTCTCTCTTTTTCAGAGTCAACCATGTCCTTTTGTGGTTTATATAGTAGCAATTTAATAATACTTCAAATTGATGAAGGGTATTTAAGTAATTTTATCCATTAACGCTGGCCCTCCGCTTAATCTCAGAATCAAAAGCACCCCTAGGGTTGATTCTCAAATTCTGATTATTTGCCTTAAAAAAAAGCTGTTAGAAGTTGAAGTTGGTATAATTAACCTGAAATAAACAGTTATTTTTAGTTTTTTTTTAAGCTAAAAGCTATAAATTGAGTGAAGAAGGCTAGGCCAAACACTCCCTATATCACATTTGTAAAATAAATTATTGATACAAATATAATATAATTAAGTTACCATTAATATCTAATAAATTGATACAAGTATAATAATTAAGTTACCACCAATATCTAATATAACGTAATTTTTTATCCTACATTAAACGAAATTTAGATTATTGCTACGGTTTCGAGTAGGCACATGGAGGCCCTTATCAATAATTAAGGGGATCAATAACGTTTTTTCATACATTGTAACGTTTTTTCATAATTAAGGGGATCAATAACGTTTTTTCATACATTGTAACGCAGGAGGGGAGAAGTAGGCATTTTGCCTATTGAAGTTGGATTTCGAAGCTCCAACGCGCTCTGCAACTGAGGAGGCATTTTGCCAATTCTCGTTTTGGCTCCTCCACATGTAGCCAGCGTCCTTAGCTAGGCAAAGCACTCTTCCCGCCATTGTGTTGGCCTCCATCGCTGCTTGTTCCTTCTCTGTTCCAGCCCATTGATGATCACAGGTATGGCTCTCTTTCTCTTTCTCCACTTCCCTGTTCTTCCCCATCATCTATCTGCAAAGGAATACATGATTCAGGGCAATCCATTTGCAAAAATTGGGTTTGTGTACTGAAATTGTTGATTGGGAAATTGATGATAGCCACTGGGTATAAACCGTTGATGATTTATTTGAAGCTATCGGATCTGAGGGCGCATCATTGTCAAAAGTTTCGATTTTTGTTTGTTGGTCTGTATTTTCATGCTTTTTTTGTATATTTAAAGCTGCATTTGATACTTTTTTTTTTTGGGTAAAAAATTGGGTTTTGGGTTTTATATTCAGTGTTTATGCAACGTGCCTGGTAGATTGAGTGATTCACTTTTATATTTCGTTGTATTTGCTTTTATAGATTGCTTGATGGTAGGCTTTTCAATGTGTAGAGGGTTTTCTCCAATGTCCTCTACATGTTCGATAAATTGCCTCAAAGAATTGACTCCAGCCAAGAATCTATACATGTTTTATATTATGTGTTACTGATTGCAGCCAAGAATTGATTGTTACTGATGTGTAGAGGGTTACTGATTGTTTTATATTATATTACCCACAATTCCAACCAAGAATTGCCTCAAAGAATTGTCCTCTACATGTTTTATATTATGTGTTACTGATTGCACAATTCCAGCCAAGAATTGACCTCACAATTCCAGCCAAGAATCATGGATTTGAAAACTCCCATCCAACCATGAAACAATCCCTCTGTTTTCAAGACCAAATCCCTCCTTGGACTAAGAGTTTGGGACCATCCCTTTTATATATGTGCCATAAATTTCATATTTTTAGGAAGATGAAAAGGAAAAAATATATATATATATATATATATTTCAATTTGTTAGTGCAAACTTTGGTACTATTTGCTGTTTTGTTCTTGACTTTTATTTACTTAATTTTGTTATTTGTTAATTTCTTGGTCCTTGACATTTGTTTCACAAATTGAATCAGATTAGTTTAGAACTGTGAATCAGATTAGAACTGTAAATAGAACTGTCAATCAGATTATTTTGTACTCCACATTTTTGGCAAAATAAAGATTATTTTCTATGAATTGAGAGCAAGGAAAATTTTAAATTATTTTCTATGAATTGTGAATCAAATTAGTTCCCATGCATTCGGAAAATTTTAGATGGGATCAGATTACTTTCTATGCATTATGAATCAGATTTGTTTCAATTGTGAATCAGGAAAATTTTAAATTACTTTCAAAGATGTCCAATGATGTCCAATTATAAATTACTTTGTTCCATTATGAATCAGATTTGTCCATTATGTCCAATTTTAAATTACTTTCAAAGATGTTCAATTATGTCCATTATGAATCAGATTTGTTCCAATTTTAAATTACTTTGTTCCAATTATGTCCACCATTCCATAATTCATTATTTTTGGAATTAGGCCATGAATTGATACCTTTTTTTTTCTTTTCTTTTTGTGTGGTATGAACAATTGTGCTTTAGATGGAATATCAAGGAAATACATATTTTAGCAACCTAATGAACAATGAGTTTGACCTTGACCATGATTTTACCACTGAATCTCCTCAACAAGAGAGTCAATCTTTATCATTCTCTCCTGAAATTATTACTCAAACTATAAAGATATCACAACGCAAAAGGAACTTCACTTTAGAGGAAGACATGATGCTCATATCTTCATGGCTTAATATTAGCTTAAATCCAATTAGAGGAAATGAGCAAAACTCAAAGGCATATTGGTTAAGAGTGTGGGAGAACTTCAACAAGTACAAAACCTTCGATTATGAAAGAACTCAAACTTCTCTAATCGGTGGTTGACGATTCAACTTGCCACAAATAAATTTTGTGGATGTTTTGCTCAAGTTGAACAGTTGCATTGGAGGAAAGGAGAGAGGAAGAGAGAATCATGTCAATGGATACAAGTACGATGCCTCCATTGCAAACACAATATATTCGCCAACGTCAGATGCAAATCCTTGAAAAAAGGATTTAATTGTTTCTATTTAGCTTTGAAACTATGTTTTTATTTAATTTAAGTTTGACTGTATTTTATTTAACTTTGTGTTAATGTAAATTTGGGTTGTGATTGAATTTCACTTTTCATGGCATAATAGTGAGTTGTTGCAAATTATTGTTATTGTTTTGCATAGTCTTTGTATTATTAAAGATCATAGATTAAAAACAAATCACTAGTGATATATTATTGAAAGCACATAAAGTAGTACAAATATTTTTGAAAACACACTCACTAAAGCATATAAACTAGTATAGAAATCAATAAGAACCAACTAGTACTTCTCACAAGGAGTCTCCATGTAGTGTCCACAAGTGTTCGATTAAGTCCTATTTGAGTTTGGAGTGAGTTTCTCTATCTTTGATGCGATGATGATTTTGAATGAATTCAAAAAGTTCTGGTGTATGCTCATAAGGCACTGGTGGAAGACTTTCACTAATTGTATCATAATTAAAGTTTAATCCATTGCCATCCCTCTCATCTTCAACAATCATGTTATGCATTATTATGCATGCCATCATAATATCTTCCATTATTTCCGTTTTCTAAAAACGTGCAGGTCCTCGTACAATCGCGAAACGTGCTTGGAGCACACCAAATGCTCGCTCAACATCCTTCCTTGCCGATTCTTGAGCTTTTGCAAAATATATTTGCTTATTCCCTTGTGGAGATAAGATTGTTTTGACAAATGTTGCCTATTGCGGATATATACCATCGGCAAGATAGTATCCCATTGTATAATCATTTCCATTGATTGACTAATTGACTGGAGGAGCACGACCTTGAGTAAGGAGTGAAAATACAGAAGAACGATCTAATACATTGATGTCGTTATGAGATCCGGGCATCCCAAAAAAGGCATGCCATATCCATAAATCTTGAGAAGCCACAGCTTCTAAAATAATAGTTGGTTCATTGATGTGACCAGAATACATACCTTTCCGTACAGTAGGACAATTTTTTCACTTCCAATGCATACAATCAATGCTCCGTAACATACCAGGAAACCAGCGATTGCTTCCCATTGCTAATAATCTTGAAATATCATCGTTGTTAGGGCTTCTCAAGTACCTCTCAGAAAACATTGCAACCACCACCTTAACAAAGTGTTTTAGACTCTCTATGGCGGTGCTTTCACCAATTCTCACATAATCATCCACCGAATCTGCTGCTACTCCATAAGCGAGCATCCTCGTAGCAACTGTCATTTTTTGAAGGAAAGACAAACCAATGATTCCAACAACATCTGTTTTCTAGACAAAATATGGATCGTATGCTTCCACCGTAGATAGAATACGAAGAAAAAGAGATCGATTCATCCGGAATCTCCTCCTGAATAAATGGATAGGATATATAGCTGTTTTTGAGAAGTAGTCTCGATAAAGTCTCTCATGGCCTTGAACTTGATCGCGATAAATAACTGCATGGCCTTCAATGGAACCACTACGTCTTCTCGAACATCTTTTTCTATTGAGTCCTTCTTCTTCCATTGCAGCTATCGTTATTATCTGCAATTCGTCATCACCGCCAAAGTCGTTAAGAATCATTTTCATGGTATTGCGAGCCATGGTAATTAAAAAATGAATGAAGTTGAGAAATATAGTTCAAATTGGTAAAAATGAAAGAGCAAATCCTTTTTATGAACAAAAATATATGACCGTTAGGAATATGTTCGTTACAGAATATTACCGTTACAGAATAATACCGTTTGAAAATATGACCGTTGAGAGAATATTACCGTTTGAAAATATGGCTATTGAGAGAATATTACCGTTTGAAAATATGACCGTTGAGAGAATATTACCGTTTAAAAATATGACCGTTGAGATAATATGATTGTTTGAAAATATATTTTTTATAAATAAATTAATTATATATTTTAAATAAATAAATATTTGCAAATGCCACGTCAATATATGCAGCATGTCATAAAAAGATTATTTATTTATTTATTTATTAATGTTTATAATAGTTTTCTTTTAAAAATTAGTTAAGTTAGTTTGATTGGTTAGCTAAAATAAAGAGTATGGTTGGAGTGTACACTAGCTAAACTAGTTAGGCAAAATAAAGAAGGTAGTTTTCTGTGTACTTTGAAGAGGCATTTTAGAGAGCATGGTTGGAGATGCTTTATTCACTCCCAAATCTCCACTGACGAGTGAAGGGAAGAACGGAGTAACAACGGCGCTGACCAAGATTAACTCAATCATATCTAACCACTCTTCTCACTTCACTCCAGCCCTAAATCCCCAAATCTCCATTGACGAAAGAAGGAAAGAACGGAGCAGAAACAATTATTTTTGAATTGTAGAGAGACGATTTTCGATCTTCTCCTCTCTAAATCATATTATTGCATTCGTAGATCTCTCTAAAGGTCCGAATTTATTTTTTTAGGAAAATTCCTACCTTGAAACTATTTTTTTCGTTTTTGTGTTCTTAGAGTTGCACACAAAGAAACAATCACAGAGAGAGAGACAGATATGAAGGTTCAGAGTCGTACTCGTAGTCGTACTACATACAGTAGAACAAGGAAGAAGAGGACTCCCAAAGGGAAAACTGATTCTGTTGATATATCCTCCGACCATTCAGCAGGTACGCTTCTATCTTGTCAACCTTTTTTTTTTTTTTTTTTTTTTTCCTCTGAATAATGTCTCAATATTCATATGCAATTCAATCACCCTACCTTTGAATAACTATGAATTTGTTTTAGATTTGCGTTTTTTTATTTTAATATTTTATTACAGTACTGTTTCTCTATTTAATATCTGTTGCTTATGGAAAATTTTAAATCTTTCATTGGCTTTAGTGGTACGTACTGAACTAGGGTTTGATGCTGAATTTGACAAAGGTTTTGTTGATACTTTGGATAAATTTCAAAATGCTGGTACATAGCAGAATTAAAATGGGGGACTTACGTGTAGGAACTAATAGGTGGGCTTATTGTCCAATTGGTATTGTGAGAATTAATGGTATTTTTTATCAAACACAATTAAAAAATGTCACTAATTGTTAATTTTTAGCGATAGTTTGAAAATTGTCACAAAAAATGCCACTAATTATAAGTTTTAGCAATAGTTTAAGAAAATCGTCACCAAAAAAATTAATCAGCTTATTTGGTTTCATTTTTCTGAAAACAGTTTTCAGAAAATTCTACTTTCTTGTTCTTCGTATTTTTTTTGTTTTTACTGAATTTTTTTAATATTTTAAGTATCTTTGTTTTAATTTTTAGATATATCTAACATAAATACACCTAAAAAGTAAAAAAATTATGAAAAATATCTTTTAAAAACTCTATAAGTACCAAAAATACAAAAAAAATACGAGAATTCAGTACATTTTTTTATATTTTTATGTATTTATTAATTTTTTAAAATATTTTTTCACAATTTTTTTACTTTTTAGATACATCTAAGCAAGGTGCATCTTAAAAAGTAAAAAAAATGCTTAAAATTTTAAAAATATTTACTACAAACAAAAAAACACAAAAAACAAAAAACTCCAGTTTTCAAAAAACTTAATCCAGAAAACTCAAACCAAACACACTAAATAATTTTCAAATTTCAATTTTCAACGACAGTTTAAAAAACTTGTCATAGAAAAATGTTGCTAATTGTAAGTTTTAGTGACAATTTATAAAAATCGCGACAAAAAAAGTCACTAATTATTAATTTTTAGCGACATATGTAAAAAAATCGTCACAAAAAATTATTTGTAGTGAGCGACGATTTTATTATGATTTATTTTCAATAAGACTTGAAGGGAATTAAGTCCAATTATTAGGATCTATTGGTAGTTTACCCAATGAATATATATATATATATATATGTGGAGAGGTGACTTAAGTGGAAGAGTGCGTCTGGGATGCCGTGTGATAAACCAGTACCCACTAGACCAAAAAGAAAGTTCTAAGAATGGCTATTAGACCAACGATGTTGTATGGGACGGAATGTTGGGTAACTAAGAAATAGCATGTAAATAAGATGAGTGTTACTGAGATGAGGATGCTAAGGTGGACGTGTGGCAAGATTAGAAAAAATAGAGTTAGGAATGAGTATATTCGTGAATAGGTGGGAGTGATACTAATAGAAGATAAGTTGAGAGATAATAAATTAAGATGGTTTGATCATATACAACAGAGATCAACAAAGGCAGTAATGAAGAGATGCGATACAGTGATGGTAGATAGAAGAATTAAGGGAAGGGGTAGACCTAAATTGGCGTGGGTTAGTGTAGTAAATAGAGATATGAATCTCCTTAATTTGACTAACTAAATGGCCGTTCATAGAGTCGAGTGGAGAAGATAGATTCATTTAGCCAAACCCATTTGATGGGTCTTAAGCCTTGACTTGGTTTGATTATATATGTGGATCAAAAAATATATATATATATAAAATTCCCCCCCTCTGAAGGGTCATTTAGCTTGTTCAATAGTTCTAATGAGGTTGAATGCCAATTTTGACAAGAGCTTTGTCGATTAACCGGGTCATTTTTCAAATGTTGGTTCATTTTAGTACTTAGTGATTCAAAAAATTAGAGTTGGCCAACAAAGTGATTATCATTGCTTGTTTACAGGGGCGGAGCTAGGGTTCGATCATTGGGGGGACCAAAATAATGGCAGCAAGATAAGGCCCACTAGGCAGACGAGTTTAGTAGGATTGATTTTGTTTGTAATAAATTTTGAACAAAATAAATATAATAAATAATTATTTGCCTACTACAAAAAAAGGAAGAGGAAGTTGTTACATGGTTTCTCTTATAATAAAGGCAAATTAATATGAAATGTATTAAGTCTGTTAGATATCACTTAAATACTTTACCAAAACTTTTCACTTTCCACGTAACTTCTCATGTGGCATGATGGGTTCTATCATTTTTTTAATATGATACACCTAACATTATATACCCATGACATTAATTGTTTAAATACACATAGAAAATAAAATGAAAGATTGAAATAAATGTGGTGATAGCATGTCTTGAAATTAAATAAGTAATAAGAATGTAAATCAATTATGAATGAATACAAGAAATGTGAACGTAAATCATAGCAATATCAAGATGTGTGTTGCTGAGTGAAAAGTGAAAGAATAAAGAAGGATAAAGGTAAGGAAAAAAGAAAACCAAAATGTTATGGACCATGAAAATTTACCTTGAATTTTATCCTGAAAGCGTATGTGTGGTGTAGATTTAAAGTTAGTGGGATGATCATACTTGCACTGAATATAGACCATTATTACTATTAGTGAACAATTTATGTGCAAACAACTATTCATTAAACAAGTGTGTACAGATATTTACAATGTTTTAAAAAGCGCACTTAGGGGTGTGCCTAAGCGCGAGGCGCAATGACGCACTTCACCAAGTTAAGGCAATGAGCAGAACAAAAGGCGCTGAGGGGCGCTTGGGGATGAGGCACAAGGGCTTTATGGGCTTTACGTAGATTTTTTCTCCAACACTTGATTTAAGTGATTTCTTGTGTGCATACCCATAGGGATTATAACCTTTCAATATAAAATGAACAGACGTGTGAAAGGAGCTCATAAAAGTGATTAAAAAAAAAAAAACCTAATGATTAAAAAAAGGGATCGAAAGACGTGGAAGAGATAATGACACGATCTTCTTCATCAACGATTGACGTCATCTTCTATAGCTCTTTCTGTTCTATTCTGTTCTCTTCTTCTTCGCTGTGTTCTCTCTATCTCTTTTCTTTTTCTTCTTTGTTGGTTCACTTCTTTTTTTCTTTCTTTATTTCTTTTTGGTCTAAGCCACTATTATTCTTCTTCTTTTTTTCTTCTCTACTCCAATCATTGTTCCCCCTTTCTGTCATTGGGTTCTCTCTATCAGCCACCACGTTTTCATCTTCTTTTTCGTTATGCAGCCAATGATTGAATGTTTACTTTTTTTGGTTTTTTAAGTTTTGAAACTTGCTTTATGATTTTTAGAATGCTATATATATTTGTTTATGTTGAAAACTTCGTCTATATTAAAATTTTGCTTATCTTCTACAACTTTTGCCTCATTTTGGTGAGGCGCGCACCTCGCCTCGCACTTAGGCTAAAAGAGACCTTACTACCTCAGTGCGCCTAGAGTTTTTTAAAATCATGCCCAATCAAAATTTAGCACAACTCTCAAATTGCTACTGAGTTCAAATGTTGATTACTTTACACGTGTATGGTGGTTATTTGTGTGCAAGTTGATCAACTAAAATCTTGCACAAGGACAAATCAGAGAGTTCAATTACAAATCAGAGGGTTTAAAGAAAAAGTTAGAGGGTTCAATTGAAACCCTCATCTCACTACATAAAATCCTATATATGTAATAATTTTTTTTGAATGTTTAGAGGGTTCACTTGAATCCCCCTTATTACAACGTTGTGTGGCCTTTGCAGAAAGGTGTGGATTACTCTTATTACGTAGTTTTAATCAAGCTTTTACTAGTCTTGAAATTTTTGATTCATTAATTTACTTTAATTGATATAGCGATCGCGGGTTTGACTCGACTCTTGTGGTATCCCAGACTCGGGTTTAATGCTTTCATATTGTTGTTTACCTCTTTCTCCCCTTGTATCTCTTTGAAATTGGCCTTTGGGTTGTTGTGGTTGTGTTTGGGTAGGTTGATCGCTTGTTTTTCAAACTTTGTGTTGCCTAGAATTTTGGTCCTCCGCTCGAGTGGCACTTCTTGCGCTTGAGTGGGCTTTGCAAACACTCAGTACTTTTGTAGGTCTGTAAAAGTACTAGAAGAGTGATTTCTACGCTTGAACGGGGTTTCCTACGCTCGAGCAGGTGGGCACTCGAGCGGCCTTTCTTGCGCTCGAGCGTTGGTCTGTTGTTTGCAAAACTACTGGATGTGTGTTTTTCACGCTCGAGCGACGCTTCTTGCGCTCGAGCGGTGAGCGTTGGTAGATTGTGTCTTGGCCCTCGAGCGGCCTTTCTTGCGCTCAAGCGAAGCAATTTATTGTGTCTGACGGTCGAGCGTCAACTCTTCTGCTCGAGCGGACTATGTGTATATCAGATCGCGAAAATGACTTTTTACATCACTTTTTCAGATATTTTCTCCCTAAAACCTAAAGTTGGGACCCTCTCTCTCTCAAACACTCTCTCTCACTACATTTTTACCTAGTTTTAGTAATTTCTTCACCCTAATCCCTTTGATTAAAAGGTAGACCATCTTAAGATCTCCATTTTGATCTGAATAGAGTTGGATTTGGGCATCCTCGAAGTTTCACTCTTGCTTGGCTCGTTTTTTCTCTTTGAGGTAGGGATTTTCTACACTTTGATATGGTTTTTAGCTTAGTTATTGGTCGTTGTGTAACAATGGTGGGATTTGGGAGTATTTTGACAAATCTAGGGTTTGGATATGAAATAAAAAGAGGGGTTTTTGGTGAATGTGAAATAAATGGGTATGGAGTTTGAATGTGAGGTGATATTGTGTCAAAATTGTTGATTTTAGTACCTGGGTTGATATTTGGAAAAAGGGGAGTTTTGCCCTAATTGGATTAAATTGTTGTATTGTATAAATAATTGAAATTGACATTGGTAATGTGCAATTGGATGATGGTGGATGTAAATGGTGGAGTTGGACACGTGTTGTCTCTCACTTGTGGGAATTTGAACAATTTTATCTATTGAGAGATTGTATATCTGTTTAGAAATATCTGTATTGGGTTATCGGTAGATGATAGCTATGATTGTTGTAGAAATTGCATGGGGATTAGGTGAACTAAAACTAATCTATTGTTGGTTGTCATTGAATATGACTATGTTTTAAATATATTGTATATGTATGATTGTTTGGGAAGAGAAAGGGGATGTATTCCATTGTTTGGGAGGAGATAGGAGATGGACTACATTGAAATTAAGTTGGCTGGAGTGTCTAGGGTGAAAGTCCCGAAATCTTGTGTATACATGGGTGCCGATCCCGCGAATGAAATTTTCATAAAATGGCAAATTTGAAGTGTTTGTGTGGTAGTGTATTGAATTGAAAAATCACTGAGTTGTAGTCTCAGTTGGTTTGTTGAAAGATAATGAAATTGACTCTTGAATTGAGAAGAATTAATGAACTTGAAATGAATTGAAGGAAAATGAATTGAAATATGAACTTGAGTACTTTAAGACCATATAAAATGTGGATATTTTGTCACTAACATTGTATATGCACATTGTACTTGTATCTTTGTTAAATCTTATATATTATGTTAGATTGTTCTTACTGGGCTTTGGCTCACCCTATTTGGGAAAAATATCTTCAGGTGTCGGTGATATGCCCAGGATAATAGGGAGGGACTTTTGGAAGCAAGAGCTTCTTTATTTTGTTATATTCTTTTGTATAGCCAAGGGCTTAAATTGTATTGAGCTAGACTCACTTTTGTGTAACCAAGTAGTGACTTGGAAAGATGTAAGCCTATAGGGCATATGACTATATGTTTTAGTTTTAATTCTCTTATCAATGCAACACACGCTGTAGATTCAGGATGAACATTTGTAAATGTATATTGCATGTGTTAACTATTGTTAAAGAACTTTAATGAACGAAAGTATCTCATTTCTATTATTCTTCCGCTTATGAGTTGGATTTATTGTATTATTTTGGGGGCGTGACAATTGATATTCATGTGTTTTGATCAAATTATGGTAACTTATCTTGGTTGACTAGGAAAGGGTTGCTAGTTTTATGATTGTGTTTATTGTGTTATCATAGAGGTTTGTGGAGATCAAATTGTGAAGCTTCATTCATGTCAGCCACATATTGCTGTGCACCCACAGGAAAATCAGATGGGAAAAAGTGTTGAAGAAGCTGAAGATAAAAGGAGTGAGGAACTAGTTCTTCCGTATTTGCAAGGTGGCTTTCCACGTCGCCAACGATCAAAGAGGGGAGTAAACCACAAGAATGTATCCAAAGTTCAAAATGCCGGTATTTTCAGTACTCAACTATGCATGAAGCTTGGTTTCCAATAATTAATCCTTTACAATTATATCATAAAGCCTGCTAATGAATATTTTGTGTTTGATCAAATCCATTATAATTCCTGTTTGGTAATCAGAAAATAGTTAAAATTTTGATTGTGTGTGCTGGTGCTATAATAGACTTTGACGGAGGCCAAATTACAAAAGACATTGCAAGTCAGCCACAATTTGCAGCACGTCGGCCTGCACGTAAAAAGAGAAAACCTAATAAAAAAGATGAAGTGACAAGTGGCCCTGCAGTAGTTTACCGATCTTCAGGTCGTGAACGGTCAAAGAGAAGAGTTGACTGTGAGAAAGGAATCACCCCACAGCAAGGAAAGTTGGACACCAATACGTTTGAATGCTATTTGGAGTAAGCTTTTGGTTTTGGCAGTCAGATGTGAAGAAAGCACCCTTTTCACTTTTCTTTTTCATTTTTCTCTCTTTTCCGTTAACAAAATATTTTGGGTTATATAGGAGTTTATGGAGGAGCTTTGGGAATGAGAAGCGGAATTTATTTACGTATCTTGATTGCTTGTGGTTTTCCTTGTACACAAAAGAATCTTCCAAAGCAAACGTGTTGAATTGGATTAAGAAGAAGCACATTTTCTCGAAAAAATATGTCTTTGTTCCCATTGTCCGGTGGTAGGTTTTTGTTCTTAATTAATCATGTGATGTAACATAACTTCATCTTGTCAATCTGTGGGTTATGTGAAGTGAGATAACTTTTTCCTAGGTGTCACTGGAGCCTTTTAATCTTCTGTCACTTTGGTGAAAGTCTGGAATCAAAAAGTAGAACTCCATGCATGTTGTTGCTGGACTCACTGCAAATGGCAAACCCAAAGCGGCTTGAACCTGGGATAAGGAAGTATGTTTCTGCAACCTACCATCTTATTTCACTGCAGCTGTCAAATTGAGTGCTAAATATGCGCTTGCTTTTTGCTCGCCTGCATGTTTATTTATATATTTTGAATTTCTGGTTTTATTTTATCCTTCCTCAGGTTTGTGTTGGACATATACAAATCAGAGGAGAGGCCAGAGAACAAACAGCAAATTAATCGAATTCCTTTAAAAGTCCCGAAGGTGACATTCTTTTCTCATCTCACCCTTAACCTTATTTGATGAATGCTAACTCATATGACTCTCAAACACACTTTCAGGTGCCGCAGCAGAGAAATGGTGAGGAGTGTGGCAATTTTGTTCTTTACTACATAAACCTATTTATAGAGAGTGCTCCTGAAAATTTTAGCATAAATGAAGGCTACCCTTACTTTGTAAGTTATTTTGTTCCATAACAGTTGTGTATTTTTCTCAACCAAGAAATATTTGAATGATGTTTTGTTCGTTTTGTTTTGGTGCTGCATCATATAGATGAAAGAGGACTGGTTTACTCCTGAAGGCTTGGAGTGCTTCTGCAAAAGACTTGATTCATTTTGCGAGTGAATTCTTTTTGTTTGGTCAGATGCTCGTAACAGAGAACCATAATCAGTAGTGATATGGATAGATACAAAGGAATGGCATGATCATTTTCTCTGTAGGCTACATGTTGATGGCGGAAGATGAAAATTAAGTGCTATGTTATGTAGGTTGATGGTGTTTTTTGTGGAAAGATCAAATGAGAGATGAAATGGAATCAACATTAGTAGTACTCCCTTGAAAAATTTCTGAAGAACCATGTTCTATATTTTCTTTTGGCTTTTAGTGGCAATTTTTTAAATCCATGTACATTGCAATGGAATTGCAACTGAATTTATTCGAGATGCTTCAATTTTATACCGATGTTGGAGTTCAAAGTTTTTGGTATTATTCCATTGTATCTGCTTTTTTACATATTACTATTCTTGTTAGAACTCTGCCTATTCTGCAGTAAGACTGGTGCCTTGTGGCAACTGGACCAGGGGTGGTCATATGATCTTGCTTTGGTCACTTTAGCAGAAGTAATGCAGATCCAAGTGGGTAATGAAGAGAGCACTGTTAATTAAAAAACCGAGGACCAGTTAGACAGATGGGGACATGATTCTCTTGCTTGTACTTAGGTTGAACTGTGTTTTTCTATGCCTCCAGTGCTTGCCAAGGCCTACATTTCAAATGAATATCCGTTTGATTTGACCAGGAACAGAAATGGCTTGTACATACTCCAAGCCTCCAACACAAAGTTCAGTGTGGTCCAACACTGTTAATCCAACCCTGCCTGCATCACCGGCACTCATGAGTCTCTATACTTTGTTGATGGTAGATTCTGCAAGCAGGATTTCATTGGGACTTTAAACATGTAGCATTGATATGGAAAAACCCAATGCTTTATTTGCAGGCTTTCAGTGGCAGTGGAGTAAACTGAAACATCAAGAAAACTTTTGGGGTAAAGAGAATGTGATGCTGCCATTAGGCAATACTCTTCCAAAGCTGGTCTTGGCGTTGCTTGTGTTGTTGGGCACATTACAATCCTGATCTTCCTGTATGCTTCCCTTCTTCGTTTCTATATAAATGTGTGTCTGTGTTCAATGAGGTTTCCATTTGATTCCTGTGTGATTAAATTTTGTAGCGTGGTTATAATGATTTTTATTCTTGGTGCAATTATTTCAATCTCCTATTAAATTTGTAATTTGACTATTTAAATAATTATTTCTGATTCAAAGAAATGAGGTTTCATTCACCTTTTTCAGCAGCCTACCAAATTCCAAGTTTTAATACCTCCATCCACCTTCTTCTTGAGGTATATCTATCTAGAATACACTACCAGCAGAGATAATACTATGAAGCGTGATGGTGTTGGGGGAATGAGGGCACCGGGTTTACTCTCTCTCTCTCTCTGCAGCCTTGAAACTCTCTCTTCTGATCTTATTCAACCATCCTTTTTTTCATTTTTTCCTTGCCGAGTTCTTTCTCTTATCTTCTTTCTTTTGTTGTGTTTTCATCTTCTCTGTGCTTATTCTTTTTCATTGTGACTATTTGTCTTCTTAGTCTCTGTCACTGGTATTTCCATTGTTTCTTTTCTTCCATTACTACCATTGCTTTTACCCTTTCTATTCCCCAGAAACTCTTCATTTTTTTTAACCTTCTTTGGTGCTGCTTTCCTTTTAATTATGGCTTTTCTTTCACATATTAGCTGCATATTGATGAGATTATGTAAGGTGTTAGCAAGAGATTTGAAGATTGAACAAAATGTTATTATCCTAAAGAGAAATCTAGAGGTGAGCTGATTAGAATAATAGAGCAAAATAGGTTACACAGAGGCAATAAAATGTATTAATGGCAATTTGTTTTTCGGGGAAATATTCCAGAGGTATTCTGCTACCTAGGGTGGGTTGTTGATAGGAAGAGAAATAGCATCATTATCCCAATAGGAGTCGGATGCCGTAGATGACTGGAAATTGGAAATATGCTACATCAGATAATGTTGTATGGGAATAGCAAAGTTGCAGATGCATCAAAGTAGAGAGGGTGGCATTGGAGGGTTGAAGGTATAAGAGTAACTACATGTTTTCACAGTTCAAAGGTGAACAAAGTAATAATTTTATGCCTAGGAGTTCACATTTCCATTCTTTGTAAGATGAACAAATGTGCAAGCTTTATTGTTTTTACTTCTTGAAATCTTCAAAGCCTCTGCAGCTTCCAAGGAGTTCTGTTCACTAAAATATTCATACACCCCTCTAGAAAAATTCTTTTGATGCACCATTTATATATATATATATATATATATTTGGATTATAAACTAGATTTGTATATCTTTCTAACCATGTATGGTCAACTGCTGAAACTCCCCTAGTTAAAACAGCTAAAAATGATGTTTGTAGGCTTCTTTGCACCAATCATTAAAATGGCAACATCTCCCTCAAAAATCATTTTAATGCACCGTTTTTTTGTTTTTTGTTTTTCTTTTCCAGAAACTATACTCGTAGATTTTCAAACATGTATGGCTCAACTGTAAAATTACCCCAATTAATACATACTAGCGGTGGCGCTTGCAATTTTTACATCTAATTTTTTGACGATTTGATTAATGATAAACGTGAGTTGAATTTGTAAACGATTCAACAGTTATTCGGTATAGCAGTTATATCATGGGTATTACTGGAAAACAGAAAAGCATGACAAAGCTTTTGAGTGCGATTTGATGAATGATAAACTTGGGCTACATTTGTAATCGTTCAGCAGTTACCTTATGGGCATTATTAGAAACTAAAAAACCGTGACAAAGATTCTGATTTATGTGCTTTATATAGATTTCTTAGATAAATTTGGATAAAATGAATTTTTCATACTGCTTTGACGCCTGATCACTAAAATTAAAGGTAAACTACCGTCTTAATAGTTGGACTCAATTCTCATTAAATCTTATGAAATAAATTTTATTAAAATTGTGGCTAAAAATAATTTGTTGTGATAATTTTTTGCATATAATTTGACAATCAGTAACTTTTTTTGTCACGATTTTTATAAATTGTCGTTAAAACTTACAATTAGTGATATTTTTGTGTGATGAATTTTTCAAACTGTCGATAAAAGTTGAAAATTAGTGATTTTTTTGTGACGATTTTTTTAAATTGTCGCTAAAACTTAGAATTAATGATTTTTCGTGACAATTTTTAAATTGTCGCTGAAAATTAATAATTAATGGCATGTTTTAATAGTGTTTGAAAAAAAATGCTATTAATTCTCATAAGAACTATTGAATAATACATACACCTATTAAGATCTGGACATAATTCTCCCTAAAATTAAAATATCTCCCACTAGAAAAATCCTTTTTTAATGCAACGTTTCTTTTTGTTAGAAACTAGACCCAGTGTACATTTCTAATACTGTGTCAAAATATGGTTCAGTGCTGAAAATTGTTCCAATGTGGATTTTACTATCACGTTGGGCTGAAAATGGAAATCTTTAAAAATGAGAATGGTCCATTATTTCATGGGCTTCTAGTTTTCAAAAAATCTAAAATTTCTAAAATATTGATTTGTAACTATGTTTTAATTTTAAATAACAAATAACAATCTCAATTAAATAATCAATACTGGAAAACAGAAAAGCATGACAAAGCTTTTGAGTGCGATTTGATGAATGATAAACTTGGGCTATGATGATGCAGTTCGTCCTGGGCGGATGGGTCGGGCTGGTCCAGGCTCTTCAAGTTCCGATCCAGGCGGATGATTCCGCCAGATGACCTGCAAGCAAGTCCAAAGGGGAACGGGGTAGTCCCCCAGTGAACCCTCCGGCGAGCAAATCAGTAAAAGAAGAAGGAAATATATAGAGAGAGAGATAGAAAAGCTTAACCTTCCTCTTGTCTTCGATTCTTGCTTATATCCTTTAGTAATCATTTCACTGTCCCTTGCGACGTGCCCCCTTCCGCCGAAAGCCTGTGCCGTAGCTTACCTTGTTCAGGGTGAGGGGGCTCTGTTCCGACGGGGAGGTGTTGTCGTAATAAATGCTGTGATGGGCTGCATTAATAGTGATGTGTTGTGGCAATAACTCTGCAGATCTTTGTCTGCTGATGTGGCCTGTGTTTCACCTGCCATGTGCCCAAATGTCATTGGCCCTCCATGCCCAGATGGCCTCCAGCTGTCCTGGGCTTTGCCAACCGGGTTATGCTATGGGTCCCAAGCGATGGGTTTGGGGTTGTTTGCTGTGGGCTGTAAGCCTTATGGGCCTATCCATGTCAGTAGTCCCTCATTTTCGAGTGCAGCTTTAGTCCAACGAAGGGAATAGTAATAAGGAAGAGAAGTGCGAACTGAGGGGAGAGGCCGATCGTTAGGCGTGCCGACCGCGAGGCGTTCCGACCGCAAGGGTGGCCGAGCGGGGGGAGCTGACCGTGAGGGTGGCCGAGCGGGAGGGGTCGACCGTTAGGCGTGCCGACCGCAAGGGTGGCTGAGCGGGAGGGGTTGACCGTTAGGCGTGCCAACCGCAAGGGTGGCCGAGCGGGAGGGGTCGACCGTGAGGCGTGCCGACCAGGACGGCGCGGGGCTCAAAAAAAAAGGGGGGGGCGTGCCTTGTGATGATGTGAAATGGAAACGACAGGGTAAGGGGAGGGGACAGTGCATCGTGGCCACACACATGGCAATATCGTGGGGGGAGTGAAGTGTTGGAGCAGAAATGAAACGATAGGTCACGAGGGGGGGTTTGAAAAGGCAGTTTTGGCGGTTGATTTGAAAGGTTTTGAAACGGGCGAAAATTAATTTGGATCCATGGAATACAGGTAAACCGTGAGTTTTTGGTATAATTCGTTTCACCTACCTTTTTACAAAAACTCAAAATACCCAAGTGTTAATTCCTTCATTGCGCACGACACCACCTTTGCAACATTTTCTCAACTTCCTTGCTTTTACGTCAGAAGTGATTCGTAAGCAAACCCTAGAAATGGCACGAGAAGAAGTGGGGAATGTGAGGGTGGACCCCCTGGGAGACGATGATGCAGAGAAGCTAGCAGCGCGATATAGGACCGAGACACGAATGGTGGGGGTGGGGGAACCGGTGGGACAATCGCAGGCGTCGGCCCTGATAGTGGCTCCAAAGCCAATAAGCCAGGTAGAGCCGGATCATTGGCACATTAAGGCTGACAAATCCACAATTACTGCGGCGGATTTGGAGGCTATCAGGGAAAAATACCAGATTCCGGTGGAGGTGGAGTTATTGCTGCCAACGTCAAGGGAAAGGCCGTCTGATGCCAGGCTAGGGGAGTTTTCCCTTTATGAGGAGGCGCTAAAAGGTGGGTTGAGGTTGCCACTGCCCCAAGTGGTGGTTGACGTACTGAACCGTCTGGAAATAGCACCAGGGCAATTGATGCCCAATGCATGGAAGA